GCTCCCAGAATTTTCAACAAATGCTAATGCTGAGTGGACCACAGAGAGATGGAGAGTGGAGACTCTGGACAGGTAATGTTGGCCATCATCATGTGCTCCTTTTAAGTCATTTTGAAGCAGTATCTGCCACTGAAGTGATTATTAGGGAGCACACTTTGCAAACTGTCTTTTTGTAACTGGTTTTGACTAATAAAAAAGGAAGGAATTTGATGTAGAGCATGAGGTAGAGAAATCTATTACACAAAGGGAAAAGAAAAAGGAAAATAAAATGGTATGAATTACCACCGAACAGAGGATTAATGGTACTTTGTGCTTCTTTTGCACCAAAGAAATCATTCAGCTACAGATACCAGAAGTATGGCTGCCTATCCAGGGAGAAACCTGAGTAGGAAACGCTGGATTCCACTGCCCCCTTGTAGTGTGCTCAGGATTCATTCTGGAGAGTACTAACACATTGCTGTGTCCTGGATTAAGCAGATGTCCATTTACAATAAGCATTTTTAAATAGGACATTGTCTGAGAAGTGGTTTTTAAGATGTGTCTAGCTAAAATTTCTGCAGAGAAAACTGAAGAAACTGCCACGAGAAAGCATGGTGTTCCAAACATAATAAGATGGAATTCCACACACTATCTTGCACACTTGTATATTCTCTGAGATCTGCTCTCTGTTCCAGTAGGGATTTCCTGAGCAACCCATACCTGCTGTGGAAGGACCTTATGCCAAGACCAAGTCTATATGGCCCCAAGCTTTTTGAGGAGTCACTGTATGAAGGCATCATATTGTGACTGATTGGACCAAGACAATACGCTTTCATAACATGCAATGTTAGCCTTTCTGAAACCGGATACAGTGTAATTCAGAAATTTCAATACCCACATTGTTTTGTCCATTCAATAGCTGAAGACATGACAACCAGTTAGCAAGTAACCAATTTAGAGTTTTTAACAAGTAAAGAGATAATAGACATTTTCATCACCATGCAAAGATGTATGGTCATTACTGATTACCGAGATAAGAAAATGCTCTCAAGTATGAAAACTGGGTAATTTGGAATCCACTTTTTCAATGCTTTTGGCCTTATTTCCAAGGTTCCCATTAGAAACATAAACTTATTCCTTTTGTATTTTCTAAAAATTACAGGGCTGCAGATGGGAAAATTAAGCACCTATTTTTGTTTCTGCCATGTGGTAGGACCTGAGAATGAATAATTAATTTGTAATTATTCTTTAGAAAGAATCAACAATTATATACATTATTAGGTTTTTTATTATAATGAATACAGAAGTCATTTAAAGTCAATAAAGAAATAAAACTTACCTCAAAAACAGGTTTTGCTTTAAGCTTGATTGATGAATGTTGTAAAATATCTATGATCACACAAAATGCTATGTTCTTTCTTGAATTAATTGAAAGTATAAGCTGAAGAGCTATAGAAAGAGAAAACTGTGTTTATGAGCAGAACCTGAAACTGCAGAGTATATTTTTATTATTAACTATGCTTTCATCTTTTTTATTATGAGCTTTAAAATGACATAATTGTGTGTTCTATTGGACCAAACAAGGGTTTCTAAGCCTTGACATTACTGACATTTTGACCTGTATAATTTTTTGTGTGGGAAGGGAGTGCTGCGTATTGTAGGATGTTTAGCAGCATCTCTGGTCTCTACCCACTAGATCTCAGTAGTACTCTCCTCCTAATTCTGACAACCAAAAGCATCTCCAGACATTTGCCAAATGTCCCCTAAGTAGGCTGCAGAATTGCCCTGAGCTTGGAACTACAAGTTCTAAATGCAGAGAAAATCATATTTAAATAATTAGTATTTTCCCATTATTTTACCTAAACATTAAAAACTGAAAGCTGTAGGGTAAACAAAAATTTCATCCCAACTAGACAAAAGCACTGAAATGTATGAACTCAGTTACCTTGAGATCTAGTTATATCTACTCACAACCCATTTTGCAGGCCCAAAACGCCCTCTTTGCTTTAGAGAACTCCTAGTATAAAACTACATGGATAGAGTCACAACTCATTCCAGATTTTGTTAATCCCTGAGCTGTTTAAACTTAAAAGCTGCTTTTTGAAGTAAAAATATTTTGTAAGGCTATACTCCCCAAATTTCCTCCAACACATTAGTGTAACATTTATTTAGATTTTTGGTTTTAAGGAATTTCCCCATGTCCTGTTATATTTGTTAAACAGGCATTCTCCCTGCTCTTACCTGGCATTTTATTTTTTTTACAAATTATTGTGTCATTGTTCTGCCAAAAGCATTACCCAAAAGAGATTTTCCTAGCAAACCAATATAAAAATGCAGAGATTATTATAATTTGAGAGTTGGCATTTTCAATCGCTCTAGAGGGTCTTAAAAATCCCTTTGTGTGTGTGTGTGTGTGTGTGTGTGTGTGTGTGTGTGTGTGTGTGTTGGTTTAATATATACATTAAACCAACCCTGGAGTGGGGTTGAGAGATGCATTAGTAATTGGTATTCTAGTAAAGAATATTTGTATGTAAGTATTTCACACCGAGTTGTGAGTATAAAGGTGGATTTAAAGCAAACACTGGCAGCTCAGTCTTAGCACATTTAATCCAGATAGCTTTTTATGCTGATAAGAAAACAGTGCACCAAGTAATTCAAAACTAGTTCAGAAAAAAAATGCATTCAGTGAAAAAAAAATCAATATCAAACCATGCAAGAAAGACAATATCAGCCTGGGGTATCTCATTTAAAACATTGAAATAAGACAATCATCTTTTAAAAGAAAATGAAGTTCACTTTACAAGTATAGGTGAATGAAATACAAGAAAGTGAGTTTAAACTCCCTAGAGTTTAACATCTATGCCTGACATTTTTTTAGAACTTGACATTATACTCAACAAAGAAATTCAGGTGCCTTTTTAAATTAAAAGGAAGAAGAGAAATGTATAGACACCTAAGTGCTTGCTACATGAGAAGACCATGGAAAATAGGAAATAAAGGACATTTCCAGATGAAAAACGAGCTGTAAAGAACAAGGCTGTCTGTGTAAGATTAATAAAGGGTCTCAAAGAGCATGGAGACAAGCTACAGAAGATCCCCAAAGATGTGTCAGAGTTACTTAAAAATATATCACACAAGTCCACAATGCATGATAGAACAGGAAAACAAGACACATGCAAAATCCCCTTCTGAGACCTAATCACTCAACTACCGTGCATGCCATATCAATCCTCTTAACCATGTAATAGTCATTGCATGGCAAAAGCCTCCAGACATAGAAAATGAGATCACACCTATTTTACAAAGCCAAGAATAGAGCCCAGTTACTAAGTACCCTACAACTTCTACAACCCAGTAGAGACAGCGATCCCCAATAATCACTTGTGAGTCATGCTTCTGTGGTTGTACAAAGCAAATGCACAAACAAAAGAATTCTGCTTTCTAGCTGATGCATGAGAACTGGGCAAGCATCTGTACCCGTGTGTGTGTGTGTGTGTGTGTGTATGAGTATGTGTGTGTGCGTGCGTCTGAGAGAAATGATGGAGATGGTGAAGCAAACTTGTGACATACAAGCTTTGGAGGGTACAACAAACCAGATAGGACCGAAAGTTTTCAGTGAGTTACTAAGAAAACATGGAAGAGTTATGCTGATGGATAGAACTCACAATATCTCTCAACATTAACAATTTGCAGTGTTTCTTCTAAATGAGAGAGGGAAAAAAAAGAGAGCTTTTGTTAGTTAGGAGAAATAATTATTGTATTTCAGTTAACTTTCATGCTGTCCTGAAATATGGGGTGGAAGAGGTCAATGGGAAAAACAAACAAACAAACAAACAAACAAACAGATGGGTCATCTGTAATACTTTAAACAATAAAGATAAACTTAAGAAAACACTGCCCTGAAAATTATTAGAGGAGGATGTTGGAAAAAACTTAGGTGAACTCTTCCCTCTGGGGTAAAATACCAATGAGAAGGAGCTGCATTCCCATCACCATGAAGTATAATGAGCTCTGCAAGGTTTTCCCAAGTCCAAGTGCACACAATGAGACATGCCTCCATTGTTACTTGTGCTACTCCTATTTGTGGAAGGACCATTATATTGCAGCAATAATGATAACTAAGAAGTGTTGGGGGGATTTCTGTGTGAGAATAATAAATATAATTTTTATTTCCTGGTTGGTATTTCTTTATACAATGTTTTTTTATTGATTTTTAGAGAAGAGACAGAGACAGAGAGAGAGAGAGAGAGAGAGAGAGAGAGAGAGAGAGAGAGAGGGGGGGGGAGGAAAGGTGAGGGAGAAACATCAATGTGAGAGCAATACATTGATCAGCTTCCTTCTGCACACCCTTCTCTTCCCCCCCCCCCCCCCAATGATAGAGTTTGAAACCTGGGCATGTGCCCTAACTGGGAGTTGAACCAGTAACCATTTAGTATACTGGTCAATGCCCAACCAACTGAGCCACACAGGGTAGGGTTTGGCTGATATTTTTCCCACTATTGAACTTGAACTGGCTGTGTTCAGGGCAATAGAACTTAGTGGACCAAACACAGGGCTTCTAGACATAACCATGGTCTCCATCCAAACACTGACAGTAACCAATGAGCTCAATGACATTATGGTGTGAAAAACGAGGACCACAGTTCATTGTGGGTCACGCTCCTGACAGCTTTTAAATGGTGTTGAGTCTAGTGACAACAAAAGAAAATTGTTAGGGAGAGTGACCACAAAATCATTCAGCCTTAAATGATAATGGCAAACTTAGAAATGCAATTTTCTCCTGTTTTATTATTCTGGGGACGGGGACAGAATTATTTATGGTTTCTACTTAAAAAAAATGTGTCTGCAAAGACTAAACAAGAAGTCTTCCGTTTGATGCATTTCCTAGTTAACACTAAACACAAATTACAGGAGTGAATTGGCATTCCCTGAGGAGTGCTAAAAAAGGCGATGCTTAGAGGATTCCTTCTTTGCTTTAAAAGAAGTGTACATAAAATAAATTGGAAAAATAATGCCAGTACATGACTTGGAGTGTTTTGCATGACTGCTTTGACATGATTTTTTAGAAGAAATTATTGGCAATGCATACATTCCTACCTGTTAAGAAACACAGGTAGACTTTTTCCCACTTGATCCAGAAGGGTCCTTGCCCACCTTTCCCTGTATAGTCCTCACATGTCTGCAGGTACACACTGAGTGTGCCTGTCTGCATAATGTCATCATCACTCACTGGGAGTCAAAGCAGGGGGACATTCTTGACCTCTTGGCAGAATCTCACAGGGTTTATCTCCCTTTTTTGAAATGTCTTTTTCTTACCATTATTCTGTGGTACCCTTCTCCTTGATTTTGCTCTTATCTTTCTGAAATCTCCTTCATTTCACTTGCTATCTCATTTTCCATGGCTCATACCTTGACTATCCATGTTTCCTGGGAACATATCTTGGTTTTCTTCTGTCATTACACATATTTTTTTTGGAATCTCATTCACATCAATGGCTTCAACTCTCACTGAATGCAGGTGGCTTCCTAGTTTATATATCTACTGGCTCTTCATTTGAACATCGTGTGGGCACTGCCAGCATGGCATATTTGAAACTGAACTCATCCTCTGTATTTCTACATCCATTGCTTCTTTTCTAACTCTCATGTTTTCCATAGAACTTTAGCCACACTGGACTTTCTCTTCTCACTCTTCCCTTTCATCTAACCACTCTCTTCAGGTCCTGTAGGACTGACTTTTAGTGTCTCTTATCTTCATCGTCATCCATTCCTCTCCATTCATACATGTTTTTCCCTAAGTCTACTTCACTTCTTATATTGATGACTGCAATATCCCTTCTCAAGACTTCTAAGACTTTTTCTCCTATCCTTCATTAATTAAAAAAAAAGTCCAAATAGATAATGGGTTATAATCAAATATTATATTTTATCTTAAAATTTATTTGTGTATGCATTTTTTCCATATTATAGATTCTAGCCATGTAAGATACAATATTTGAAAGTGCACATGACTGAAAAAACCTGAATACTCCGTGAAGATGCTCTATTTGATCTGGTGAGTTTATTACTCTCAGCTCAAAACTACTAAGTATTTGTCAGAATCATAGTCCACTGGATCTTTCTGTTTCAACTCCCTGCATACACCTTTTTCTTTATATCTTTGCTATAAGAGATTTATGAATCTGATCCTTATTACGTTTTTTTTAGTTAAAAGCATTAGTGACTTGCAATAGTTCTCAAGATGTGCTCTGACCCTTTAGCTCTTCCTAGTATAATGTTTCCACCATTCCATCACATTCCTCATTCACTTCCACCATCATGAATAACTTGTTTTTCAGTATCATACATGCTCAGCCCTCATGCTTATGTTATTCTCTCAATGTGAAATGTTCCCTCCTCCACTTGTTTGTCCTTCTAATTTCTACTCATTGTTCAGTAGTATCTAAAGTTTCACTGCCCACAGAAATTTCTATATTATTATCTATCTGAGAGATGTTTGCATTTTAATTATTTGATTGCTGGCTTCTGTCCCCATTTTTATATAACCTTATTGGAGTTTAAGGAGCTACATATTAATAGACTTTCTGTTAAAGTTTTTGAAACACAGTGGATGCTTAATATATACTTTTTTTTTTCAGACAAAGAAGAAGGAAAGAAAGAGGGAAGTAGAGAAAGAGACAGAAATCAATCCTTATCTCTGCCTCTTTTCTTCTCCAGTCCCAATTGTTTTGCTTATAGTTAGAGGGCATGTATGCCCTTGAAATTAATTAACTAATTAATTTACAAAATGCTTCATTGAACACTTAAGCCAGGCATCCTGCTATGTGATAAAAATAAATAAGGTAGTCCAGGCTTAGAAGTGGTTCTACCACTTTATCCTTGTGTGATATTAGGCCAATTAATAGATTCCTGTGTCTCAGTTTCTTTATTTTTAAATAGGGGATATTAATAATACCTTCCCAATATGGGTATCGTAAGGATTAGTCACATGCAAAACTTCTTAATGACATGTCTCAGAACAATTCTCTCTCTCTCTCTCTCTCTCTCTCTCTCTCTCTCTCTCTCTCTTTCTTTCTCTCTACTTTGTATCTATCTTTAATTCTAAGCTTATGAAGATACGCCAAAAACAGGTGATAATGTAGGAGGTTAGAAAACCATGTCCTCCCTTGTAATGGCTCATGAATACATTTCAAAAGCTAGAGTGGGGGAGGGAAGATATTAACCAAAGAACTTATATGCATACATGCATTACCCATGAACAGATAATCAGATGGTGAATGCCTGGGGTAGGGCATGATCCAGGTGAAGGGGGGCAAAGCAAAGTGGGGAGTAGAAAAGGGGACATCTGTAATATTCTCAACAATAAGTATATATTTTTAAAATCCAGGCTCACCTGGATATGAATTCTTCTCTGCTTCTGACTAAGTGTGAGTGGGATTTGGGACACATTACTGAACATCTCTGTGATTACATTCACTTATCTGTAATATGGGACAATAATAATATACAGCTCCTTGGGTATTTCAGAGCATTAACTAGTTGATACTTGCATTGAAATTAAGTACGGAAATAAGCACTTAATATCGATAATATGAGTTACCTATTACTACTTGTCTTAATTTTCTTAAGACTTCTCACCCTATTTGTCTATTTTTATAATATATTTATTATTCATTTTTACAATATATGTCCCTCTTCTTTCATTTAGCTCCGAATGCAGCAGCCCTCCCTATTTCTGGTCATTGTTTTTGTTTTTTTGCTTTTGTTTGTTTGTTTTGTTTTGTTTTAGCATTATCACTGTTCCAATTTACTGGTTTATGTATATAATTTGTTTCTCTAAATTATAGTATGGGGTCATAATAAAGAAGTGCTGTGAAGAAAAGTCATTTTTGTTGCTTATTATTATTACCCATAACTCATTCAATAAACCTATAACACTTTTGCACTGATACTCTGGATCCATAAAGAAACAATATCTCGGCTTATTCCTTCTTTGGAGATACAGAAGCAGATGTTAGCAGTGCTGTGCTAAGTGGTATAATGGAGGGATTATAAAGCAGGGCATTGGGCAGAGGACAGAAAGCTCTCCATGCAGGGTCAGGGAGGCTACAAAGAGGAAATGACTTTTGCCCAGGGCCTTCATTAGGACCTACTGGAAAAGCATTTACAATGCTGATTTGTATTGATAAAATTAAAGGAAAAAGCAAAGAACTCCCAGGCAGAGTCATATGTAGATCGCTTGTGCCTATGAAAAAAATCCTGACAACTGTGTCAAAGGTCTACTGTTGATAACTCAAATGCGTGGGAGACCACGAAAGGATAATCTGACTAGATCAGGGGTTCCCAGACTTTTAGAATGCGAGGACCACATTTTAAGGCTTTTTCTCCTAGAATTTCTCATGTATTGTAATAGGAAGTACCCTTTTAGAATCAATCGACTTAATAAATGGTTAGGAACAGGAATTACTTTGAATTCAATATCAATTATATGTGGATTTGCATTTTGTCCAGTTAAAATTTGCATTTTGATAAGCATAAATTTGAAATAGCATATATGCAGTAGTTCATATATGTGCAAAGCTTATTTTTTCTTCAACCTGTATAAATTCTTAGGCTTTTTCCAATAACTTCAAAGTCCCAGGGTCCATTGATTTAGATTTCAATTAGAAGGTTTCCATTTAGATATTTGTTTAAAAAAATATCACAAGTACAAGAATTGTACAATTTTAGTATTATGGAATGTTTACTAATTTAACAGTTTATTTTCTCATTTCACAATCTGCAGAAACAACTATGACCAATTAGTTGAGAACAAATTAGAATTAAACATGAGTGTAGCTTGCTTCTGTGTTATGAGCATATCAGTGCTCTTTGTCCCCAATAATAGCTATGGCTTTATAAATTAGCAACAAATTCCCTGCCATCTTCTGAGTTTTCTTGTCTCTTGCAACAAGGTAAGCACAGATGGTAGATGACACGCAGGCGAATTGCGCCCACAGGTCAGCCTGCCTGAGTGATCTGTTAGGTGTGGGGATGTACAAATCAAACGTTACATTTCCGGAATGTCTGAAAATGTGGGCCACATGTGGCCAATGAGATATTTTTAAAAGCTGACTGTGAGATATGCTGATCCAGCCAAAAAAAAAAAAAAAAAAATTAAGGACTCTGGGTGGGAATGGAGATGGGGTAGAGAAAAAACGTCACAACTTATGGAAATGGACCCCTCTCAGAGGGAAGTGACATTCACACCTGGGCTGATGATTCCTGCGCTATATTCTGCTCATCTCTGGCATCTCCCTAGCCTCCCAGGAAGTCAGCTGCTGCTCAGCCTGACCAAGCCCAGGCCTCCAGAAGCAGGGCTGCAGCAGAAATGAATCATTGTCAGGGAGTGTCTAAGGAAAGGGGTGAAAGGGCAGAATGACAATGCGGCTCTTCAGCATCTCTTATCGGTAGGCTGACCAGCAATGAAACCTAATGGAAAGAACATGTGTGCTGCTGTCATCAGGCCAGACTGCATAATCTACATTTGCAATGTATTAGCTTTCTGATGTGGGGCTATTACAGCGTGTTTCTGAGCCTCCATTTCCTCGTCTCTAAAATAGGCCCATTTATCCGGCGAAGGTTAGACATGAACACACATGTACCAAGTGCGAGGAAGAGCTTTGTGGAGCTGGATAAGAGAGAGCTAAAGGGGGATTAGCAATTCCTCCTGAAGCTTCCTGAGCACCTGCTACAGTGTAGTTTCTTTCCATCGGACCACCCTTAGGCTTCCCTGGATGAAGAGAGATGCAGAGAAAAGAGAGACCTAGCAAGGGAATGCCAAATCCACTCTTACCTTCCTCCAGGCTCAGCTGCTCTTAAAGCACCCAGAGTGGTGCATGTATTCTTCATAGAAAGCCACACTCCATCCTGGACGCTAGATTTTCATTTCCCTCAATTCTCTCTTCTGAAATCACATTTATGTTTTTCATGCTGTCAGCTTATATATACTGAGGAGCGGGGGAATCTGAAAATGTTAGCTTTGTTGACAGG